AAAGTGACTTATGACGATTTTTCACCCTTAGAACCACAGCAGCATCTCCCCGATCACATGATCAAAATTTGGGCACTTGGCAACTGGCATGTATTTATGACAGTTGCATTGTTCCAGGGTCATGTGATCACCATTTGTAATTTTCCCACTTGGCTTTCAACAAGCAAGGTCAATGGGGGAATCCAGATTTGCTTAACAACTGTATGATTCACCTAACAACTGCAGTGGTTCAATTAACAACTGTGGCAAAGGGTCGCAAAATGAGGCAAAACTCATTTAATCACTGCCTTGCTTTAGCAATGGAAATTTTGGGTTCAACTGTGGTCATAAGTTGAGGACTACCTGTACAGTAATGGGTGATAAGCCATGAAGGCCTATTCCTGTTAAGAACCTGGGTTGACAAATTTGTTTCAATCTATGTTCTCCTACCCATATCTCAACCTAGGGATGGTTGGCAAAGTTGCAGAGTTTGGCAAGGTGGACAATGGTTGGAGACTTCCTTTATAACAGAGACATGCTTTGTGTGTTTTGGCTATCATAAACCACATATTTGCGTAACTAAATACTATTTGTCTGACAAAGAATAACAGGAAGGAACCAGAATGGTAGCTTCCTTGTAAAGAGATCCAAAAGTGAATTTTTGCTAGTAGCAACCTTGCAGCCCATGAATCAGGGTTGAAGCTGGTTAGGGTTGAACCTGGCTAGCACTTAAAAAGAAAATATCAGAAGTACCAATCTGGAAAATTAAAATTTATACATATCTCAAAACAGCCAACACCTTTCCATTGGGTATCTAAGAAAATAACACATCCATGTCCATCAAATCATCAAGAGTTGAGCACACGTATGTTTAGGCCTGTTCAGGTATAGGTGCTAGTTCTTGTTAAGCTTTTATGTATCAGTATAACGTTTTACTTTTTATTCAAATCTGCTTTGTGCATCAGCAGAATGGTGAGAGAAAAATTCAATCTCACGGTAGTCCTCAACTTACAACCAAAATTGAGCCCCAAATTTAGGTTGCCGAGTGACAAATTTGTTATGTGAGTTTTGCCCCATTTTACGACTTTCCTTGCCACATTTGTTAAGCAAATCACTGCAGTTGTTAAATTAGTAACACGGTTGTTAAGTGAATCTGGTTTCCCCACTGACTTTGCTTGTCAGGTCGCAAAAGGGGATGATCCCATGACGCCGGAACACTGCAACCGTCATAAATAGGAGTCAGCCGCCAAGCATCCGAACGTAACTCACGTGACCATGGGGATGCCTCAACGGTCCGTTAAGTCAGTGGTTCTCAACCTGTGGGTCGGGACCCCATTTGGGGTCGATCGACCATTTCACGGGGGTTGCCAAGCAAGGCTGTCAACCATTTTTTTTGTCCGCCATTTTTTCCCCCCTTTTCCGGCGGGTGCCTTACCTTCCTTGGGCTGGGCCAGCTGGTGGTCGGCCTGCTCCGTCTCTGCCGCTTGCCAGCTACGCCTCGGCCGGCGCAGGGGGCGCAACCACGCATGCGCGGCGCTCCCGGGCAGGGAAAGTCCTTGACTTACGACTGGTTGGGTAGTCCTCGACTTACAACCAGTTTAGTCCTCGACTTACGACCGGTTTAATCCTCGACTTACAACCGGTTTAGTCCTCGACTTACGACCGGTTGGGGTCGCGGCATTAAAAAGGTTGAGAACCACTGCGTTAAGTGAAAAATGGTCTTAAGTCACTGTTTTCAGTGTTGTACTTCGGTCATTAAGCGATCTGTTGTAAGTCGAGGACTTACTTCTGAGCAGCCTCGGAAGCCCAGTACAAAGCCTGGGTGGTCCCCAACTCCGAACTCTAGGAGGGTGGGGAAAAAACCCAGGAGCTCTGCCCGTTGCATTGTGCTTGAGGGAGGGCGGCAGCCCCACGATCTAGCTCCTAGCTTTTCATCTGAAAATCGGAGAAAATCCTGCCCCATGTCCCATCCACAAAAGGATCAAAGGAGGTGGGGAAGAGATCGAATAAAAGTCCAGCAAGCAGAGCAAAAAGCCAAAAGGGTTTATCGTAGGAGATCATGGTGGCAAGCTTGGAAACCCTTTCCGACAACTAAGAAGTGTTGCACTATCTCAGCCTCCCCACTCCCCGGGATCGACGCGCTCTTCTCTCTCCAGCCCGCAACGGCAAACGTTTACACAACTCCCACCTGCGCGCCTTTGCTCTGCAGTGAATCTTACTGCGTTCAGCCGGGCTTCCTCGGTTTGCAGCCGAGCGGAAGCTTACAGCACCCCCTCCCGCCTCGCCAGACAACCAAGGAGCCGGCGGCGGCGGCGATCAACGCTGCTGGCTTAGGCCGGCCAAAGGTGCACCGACTCGGTCTTCTCCCTCGTGCGGAGGCCCGCGGGCGCCTCTTTGCAGAGCCGCAGGAGCCCCGGGGTAACCGCCCGTTGGGGGAAGAAGCTCCCCCAAACGGGGAAAGGCGAGGGAGCGCGAACCGGAGCTGTTTTCGCGCTTGACGAAACGGCGCCTTACCTTCACGGCCGAGCAGACGGCGGCTGCAGCCATGTTCGCCCGAAGAAAGAGGAAGGAGGCGGTGCCGACTTCTCCGCCCAGGGATTGTTCCTCGTGTCGGGAGCCTGAAGTGGAAAAATCCCAGTGTCTGCCTTGCACCGATATCGTTGCGCGAGTCCCGGTTTTCTTTCCCTTGAAGGCGGAGAACGTGCAGAGATTTTGGCAGCGCTTTTTATTTTGTGCAGATCTGCTTGGTTTGCACAGCCGTCCTACTGAGGGCGCAGCGCCTTATCAGGCCGAGGAAATTTCTAACCCAGCACACGCTGAAAGCCGCCAAAGTGGGAAAAATCGATTTGGAAAAAAAAAAAAAAAAAAGAAATCGCGATTGATCCTAGTGATCCAAAGGACGTATCCTGGCTTTGATTTTCTACTGAGCTGAGTTGGATTCTGAACAACCGGTTGCAGAGGAAGAAAGATTTCTCTCACAAATATGCAACAAAGGGGGTTTAGTCAAGACTTTTTAGGGGGTGTCTTCTTAGTCCAAGGAATACAATGGAGGGAAAGCTATAAGCAAGCAAAAGTTGTGACATTGTAGAGTGCTTATGGGCATCTCGGATAGTCTAATATAGTATTTTGATTTTGTGGTGCGGAAGCCATTTTCTTAAATAAATTTTATTTTATCGCTGATTTTATTTTCTTATTGAAAAGGAAAGTATTTCTTTTATTGAAAAAAAAACACAAAATCAGACACGGTTAATATTTGAATGGGAGAATCAAAAATTGTTGGAATATAGCATAAGTCACTCCATCTTGTAAACTTCAGTATGCTTAATTCTACACTTCTTCATGCCTACGTGTTAGGCTGCAATCTGCAGCTGCAAACACGTAAGGACAGACAACTAAGAAGCAAGTCAACAAAGCTGTCTACACAAGCTATAATATTATCACTTCCTGATAAGACCTTCCAGTGTGAACCACAANCTTCCTGACAGTGAGAACAATTAACCAGTGGAACAATCTGCCTCCAGAAGCGGTGAATGCTCCAACACTGGAAGTTTTTAAGAAGAGACTGGACAGCCATTTGTCCGAAATGGTATAGGGTTTCCTGCCTGAGCAGGGGGTTGGACTAGATGACCTTCAAGGTCCCTTCCAACTTTACTATTATTATTATTATTATTATAAAGGAAGAAAATGAAAGAAGCATAAACAGAACAGAGTAAAATAAGAGAATAAAATAAACAGTGAAAAAGGAACACAATTGGGAGTACATCAGTTAATTTTAACTGCTCCTGAAGAAGCTAAAAACACAACTTAAAAACGAAGCTTTCCCCCACACCTACAACCCTGTGAGGTGGGCTGGGCTGAGAGATATGCCTGCAACCCCCAAATTCAAATCACTGGCCACATGCTTGCAACCAAAGACTGTCCACCCTGTGATATGGAAATTATCCTCCCTCACCTTGTTTGGTCACTGACTCTGTATATTGCCTGGATTCTCTAGCACCGTGCTTCTCCAGGTTAAGTACACCTATAGCACACTAATTTCCACTTGTGAATTTACTTAGACACATAACCTTCTGCTATTGCATGTAATAAGGATTCTAAGAATGGCAAGATTCCCTAAAACATTGCTTGAAAATCAAATTGGTAAAGAAGCCACTGATTGTGATGCACAGATGTTTTTTTTAAAAAAAGAAAAAGCCCTATTTCATATCGATCCTACAGAAGTTTTTAAAATATCCTGTTCTATTTTTAACTACATAGTTCCTATGGCATTATATATCATTAGAATTTTGCTTTCATTAGGACAGAAGGCAAGGCCTTTTGATATCTGCCGTGGATTCTGTGTGACATCTTATCACATAATGGGAATTTGATAGTTAATCTGCTGGCTGAACAAGAAAGCCCCAAAGCAATAGGCAGAGGAGATGAGAGTTATGTAAACCCTGATTCAAAATTCCCATACAGTAATTCATCTCCTATACTGTATGACATGAGCTTGGCAAAGTAATTATTTTTCTATTATCTAAGGGTGAACCAGACATAAACAACTTTATTATGGAGTATTACTCACAGAAACATTTTCTAACATCAGTGACTTAATAGCTTCCAGATAATAGGTAATAAAGTGACTTATGACGATTTTTCACCCTTAGAACCACAGCAGCATCTCCCCGATCACATGATCAAAATTTGGGCACTTGGCAACTGGCATGTATTTATGACAGTTGCATTGTTCCAGGGTCATGTGATCACCATTTGTAATTTTCCCACTTGGCTTTCAACAAGCAAGGTCAATGGGGGAATCCAGATTTGCTTAACAANCAAAAATGAAATTTAGTTGCCCGCTCTCAAAGTGAAACACATACATGATGCATACCTAAACATACTATGAACAACATATGTATAGACCCACATCCCTACATATACGTAGCAAATAAATATTAAATACTGTCCATCTTGAATATATAACGGAAGGAGGAAGCTTGAGAGTTCGCAAGGTTAATGCTGTATGGAATGAAACTCTGGCTGAATCTGGATGTTCTGCTACGGTATACCACGAAGCCTCCTCCCAGAAGGTAACAAGGAAAACAGGTCATGAAGAGGATGTGTAGTGTCCCAGATAATCTTACGGACCCTGCTCAAGCAACACTTCTGTGCTATGTCCTGGATGGGAGGGAGGGAACTGCCAATGATCTTTTCGGCCATTTTCACCACTCTGTGCACCGCCTTTCTGTCTGAAGCAGTGATGCTTCCAAACCAGACTATGATGCTGTATGACAGGATGCTCTCGATCGTCCCCCTGTAGAAAGAGGATGATATGGACTAGTGCCTACATTCTTGATCCCACATAGTTTAGAAATGTTTTAATATTGCTGACAGAAGGTTTGTCCCCTGATAACTCAGGGATTCCCATCCTAAAGGCTTTTGATAGTTTTCCAGTTATCTGATTTGGTAAGCTTGTCTTAAAATCACTGCCTTGGGATACTGAGTTTTGTTGTTATATACAAATGGAATACGAGACTACCTTGTAGAACATCTTATTTTATTATTGAAAAAAAAGTCTTCAGGGTCCAGTCTGTTTTCTGGCTGGGGGGAGGGAGACGTTTCTGCCTTTTTAAAGATCTTCTCCATTATTCCTTTGGAGAAATATATTCTGCCTTTTTAATATCCCCCAAAATACTTCTTTCTCTGGATTCTTCCCACAATCCCCCCTGGATGACACACTTTTACTGGCACAAGATTAAAATTGATCTGGTCAGGGAGACTTGATAAACAAGCTTTTAAACAGTTAGTGTAAAAAGTGGAAGGCAGCAGAAAAAGATCCCTGCAGTGGCTCCCAAAAGGGGAGCTTCCAACTCATAAAGGCCTAAAAGTCGGGACAAAAGTTCTGTTAGGTGGAAAAGAAATGTATAGTGTCCAATATTCTGTGCCAATTCTTTTCAGATGTTGGATGTCACTTTGACCTTTCAAGTCAGGTCTGCACATGCTTCCCAAAATTCTTTTTTTATTATTATTATTTTTTATTGAGTTTTTTATCCATAAAGGGAAACGAGGGAGGAATATAGGTATGGTAAACAGGGGTGGGTGGGGAGGAAAAAATAGGAAATTTGGAAGGGGGTAAGGGTAATATATAGTCAATAATTTTACAAGCAAGTATCCGGCGTATCATAATATTTAAATAGCATATAACATATTCAAATATTTTTCACTTAAACTTAGCTTTAGCCATAAAGGCATAACCATAAATTAATAAAAAACAAGTATTTCCACCTAATAGCTAAACAAATGTATTAATAATATTGAAATCTCAAAGAAAAAGAATAGAAAAAAAGAAAATGAAATTTCTAACAATCAAAAATAATAACTCAAACTTCAATAAATCCTTTCACTTAACTATCTATTAATTAATACTCCATCATTAAACTTCTAACGTATCTCTAACCAATGATAAAAATTTTCCCAGGTTATAAAGTAAATTGAATCATCTTTTTCTTTCATTTCTAATGTTAGTCTATCCATTTCCGCACAGTCTAAGATTTTTGTAATTATAATCTGGTCCGATGGTAAATTCTCATTCTTCCAAAATTGGGCAAACTTCCCAAAATTCTTCACAGCCATGTTTTGCCTCAATACATAATTACTGGCTGCCCATTTTCAAGAGTTGTTTCCTGCCTTAGCTCTTAGTTTAGGGCAGTGGTGGTGAACCTATGGCGCACATGCCAGAGGCAGCACTCAGAGCCCTCTCTGTGGGCACGCACGCCGTTGCCCCAGCAGAGTTCGCCAAAGTAGCAAGCACATGGCTTTTGGAAGCGACGGCAGGAAGTGCACGAGCAAGCGACGTTGGCCCCCCAGGGATGCCCCGAAGATGGCGAGGGACAGGCCTCGGCCACGCAGACCCAGTCTGCCGTGACCACTGCAGCCACGCCCACCCAATGGGTCACACCCCCCGCCCCTCCTGAGGTCACCACAATGCTGATGCAGCCCTGGCACTTTGCGATAAATAAGTGGGTTTTGGGTTGCAGTTTGGGCACTCGGTCTCTAAAAGGTTTGCCATCACTGGTTTAGGGCATCCAGGGTTTGTGATGTCCAATTGAGGTTAGCCAGTGTGCAAGCCAGGCTGTTAAATTGCACACGGTGAGCCCTAGGACTCCCACTATGAGTCTACCAGTGCAACATATTCAGGGCTTGGGTTTTGAAGATCTCTTTCCTGCTACCTCCTCAGGGCATATGAATTGCAAATTGCCTGAGGGGGCCTGGTTCCCTCCCCCTTGGAATTTGCAGGAAAGTGTGCATACAAAGCTTTAGTGCCACAGGGCAAGAACCAGCCTAAGGAGCTTTACTGAAGGTAGGTGAAGGGGATAGATTCAGTGTGATTCTGAATGGTATGTGTGTGTGTGTGTGTGTGTGTGTGCATATGTGCATGCAGCTACTTCTACAAAACAGGCAATATAAGCATCCTGGACAATTTTTCCTCCCTTCAGACAGAAGTCCAAGGTGTTCAATACTTGCTGTGCCAACCATTCCCAAATGCCATCCCTCCATAAATACATTCAAATGGCTTATTACAATGCAAATGAGGCAAGAAAGAAAATCTTACAATGAGTTTCTTCCCTCCCCCCCCATAGTTTTCCCAGTTGTCTTCTGAGGGTTCACGTGGGGGCCAATGGCTC